TGGCTATTATTCATCATGGCAAGACCTCAGTTTAATGCTCAAGGGCGAATTGATTCCAATCCCAAACCGCATCAGCCATTTCTTCACAACATGCAGGATTTTACACAGCTTACATAAACACAGCACTGAAATTGATTAAAGCTATAGTCCATCATTTGTAATTAGTGCATTTTGTTCGTTTGAAGTAACAAAAGTGTTCAAAATCTAATGAAGGACACTGAGCAACTAACCTGATGAAGTTTCAGCTAAGCTTCAGCTGTACATTCCGAGAAAAACAGCATTCTAAGATCTCAATTTCAAATCAAAAGTTACTGAATCATGTTTTGAATTGTTTTGAATTGCAGCTATACGCGGCGTCGCGCACTGATCCGACGAATTATAACAACCGCACGCGCGTGTGCGTCGTTCCAATACTTGTGCGCGCTGCGCTGAATAACAAAACGAACTACTAATTTAAATTTTCCTACGGTGCTTCTTAAGAATCACCGTTGGAAATGCCTTCTTTCGTTGATTACTTCAAAATGACAGCTTCCCAAAAGAATAATTTCACAGGGAGTTTAGTTCCCTTACTAACTTTCAACCAAGTTTGTTTTTCAACAGTAATTACGCCAGTTACTTTTCGGATGGCTGCAAATGATGGACTATAGCTTTAAGGCAGGGAACTCGGTCACAGTGTCCAAAACTGTTGTTGTGATCAAATGTTGTGCAGTGAGACGCGAGAGAAACTAATATGCCAAGGATAAGGAGCATCTGCACAGTCAACAATTTCCAAAATTGACTTTATGGTTTTGTAGTTATTTCAAAAACAGTCAGACGGATACTTTTTTGGGGACATACTGTACATACCGTTACCTCGAAATAAGTCATAATTAGAAAGAAACGAGGTCTCCCCCTAAAGGGGACGACACAAGCTTACAAAAAACCTCCAATGCTTCTTGGTTTAACAATTTAAAGGGAATATACATCATTTGCTTTTGCTGTAATTTTCAGAAATGGATGGAATTGGGGGGTTGGAAATATATAGCAAATATAGTTACACTGACTTTTTTGAGGTTTTGGGTTCAAAAATGCTATAAAAACCAAGAAAAACAATCATTTTGCTGTAGTCTGGTTCCCTGACTCCATTTAAGAAGAAACAGAGCAGTTTACATACATTGGGGAATTGTAAGGTAAGGGAACCAGTCTAGCTGGCTTGTACCCGTTCATAGGTGTGTAATCGATTGCAAACAAGTGCGTTTTTTCCAACGCTGATCGGCCGATCAGCGTTGGAAATTGATACAAAAATACCACTTTTCTTGAAAATGACAGTATACCAGGTGCCATGAATTTACAGGATGCTTTACACTGTCATTCACTAACAGTCCAGCAAGGTATTTCAAAATGATTTGGTAGTTTTATTTTTTGATGTTTGCAAATGTTGTATTTTCCCTTTAAGATTGCGCTTCTAAACTGGATGGATGTCCGTAGTCCACTGGGACTTGTGGGAAGTGCAGGGATAGCCGTAGTCCCTTGGACTTGTGAGAAGCAATTGCGCATCTAAGGTTAACGATGACAAAGCCATGGGTTTAACGTGGGCCTCTCACACCAAAGTAGTAGGCGAGACATCTCTCCTTTAAAATGAAGTTGTTTTCAACGAGATTATTATATGCTCCAAACAGGAAGAGGGTTTAACACTCATAATGGGCGCGAAGGTCTTCTGAAGTCAACAAGATGAAAGCTTTGGTAGATAGTCATGACGTCATCGTGTACTTGCCGCTTTATTAACTTAAAGCTACAGTCCATCATTTGCAGCTATCCAAAAAGTATCTAACGTAAATATTGTTGAAAAACATACTTGGTTGAAAGATAGCAAGGGGACGAAACTCCCTGTGAAATCATTCTTTCTGGCAAGCTGTCATTTTGAAGACATTAACGACAGAATGCCTTTCCAACGGTGCGTCTAAAAACGCACCGTTGGAATTTCTGTAAGTGGTTCTTTTTTTATTCGGCGAAGCGCGCGCAAGCATTGGCACGACGCACACGCGCGCGCGGTTGCTATAATTATTCATAGATATAGAATATCTATGTAAATTAGTCGGATCAGTGCGCTACATCGCGTAGCTGCAATCAGCTCAGTACAGTGAGAACGTGTCTCGGACGCTAAATTCAGGCCCAATTCGAAACATGATTCAGCAACTTTTGATTTGAAATCGCGAGCATAGAATGCTGTTTTTCTCGAAATATACAACATTCACTGAGTTGAAATTTCATCGGATTAGTTGTTCATCACCACATCCAACATCGAAGAGGCGGATTCCTAGTGCAAGTTAATGACAGACTATGAACTGTGTTCATTTGTACGTAAGTTTGGCCTAGTGGCTGTCCTAAATGATATACTTATAGCGAGTCAATGTGGCAGCATGTTGCAGTATTTTGACGCAGGGGAGAAACCGCGAAGCGAACTGAGTTGAGACTAAGCAACACAATCTGAGTTCGTCAACGGCCTGTGTGCAGTGTAGTCTCCCGCTCAATTCGCTCGTGCCGCTTTGTTCGAAATTGTGTTTCACCTGTCTGGTGGACGACTGCTTGGTGACTACTGTCTTCCTGCTGCAGCCTTATTCATTCACACGCCCTACAGAGAAGTGTCCCTGGCCGATAGTTTACCAGTCAGGTTATTTTCTTCGGTCTTTCTTGACACCAAGCAGACCAGATTGATATTGGAACAAAGAAATTCCCACTTAGCATTGTAACTCAATTTCCAAGCAGTGTAACCCAATTACACCTGACTTCTTTCTCAACGATGTTTTCCCCTTGCCCATCGCCTCAGGTCGGTATAGTTGATATCTCCCCGTATTATTGCAACACTTTCTCTCCTTACTCCCAAATGGCCAAAGAAAATCCGGAATGTATAAACAAAGCGAAATACAATCGACTTCGGATTTTGAGAACGAGTCACTTTTTTTCCTGTGGGAGGAATACTATACCAGAGAAAGTTGATTGTGTTTTGGGAAAAATCCTCGGTGCAGAAAAATCTAAGTAGATTAGATTGGTTAGAGCTACAGAACATGCAATACCTTCTCTGGAACTTTCGGACACTGCCGACTTTGAGGAACTTTAAAGGGTCCATGAAATGAATTTTACACTGGAGCATATTTGTCGCAATAACATTTAAAAATGTACTTTGTGTAAACATTTAAAATATGTCGTGCTTTTCCTGACAACTGAGGGTGTTGTTGCTGTGAGTTTACTTGATGAACACGCCCTTCAGATTAGGGTTCTCTCTTCAAATTGTAATCCCCAAAGTCTGCTTATTGAAAACACTTGTACATAAAATATTCTCATTGTCTTACGGTCATATACTGACACAACAATGAACCACTGACAGCAGAGAAATAACCACCGCGAACCCCTAAAATTCTGGTGACTTTTTATGCCGAAGCAGACGTGAAACTGAAGTTTATGCCTTGAATGACATTACAGTTTTGCTCATGAATATGTAAATTTTTATTAGCATAACAAGCAAGAATTCACCCAAAAAACCGCCCTTGAAATGGGAAAAGGAAAATTACAAATAAAGTTAAATTAAGCATTGCACTAAAATGAATTCCATTACACAAGCCCTATTAATTGAAATGTCAATCATATGGAATTATTGAATTTAAATGGTCATATGGTTTTCATGAAGTAAAAAAGTTATCAGAAATAGACTTTAGAAAGTGGATGGTGTTTGTTGCTAAAAACTAGTTACATTTAGTTGGCTTTATATACTGCCCCTTAATTAGAGCATTTTGAGGCAGTTAGTTCTTAAACAACTTGGAATGTATGGTTTCAAAATGTGGTTTAACAGTTTGAGCATGGGGTGAACGGCCATGAATGACCGACTGCTTACGCCCTCAAAACACCAAACATCTAATCACAGCTATGTCCATGTGAAGTGGCAAGCCCCCCCCCCCCCTTCCCCGCAGGCTTAATCATGTATGCACCAGCCTTGCAACTACATGAATGACGTCATATGTAAACAACCTCTGGGGCGCGCGGTCATCAGTCCAGCGACCTTCGGACAACAAACATCGCGTGCGAGCAGCGCGGCAAATCCCCCGGAATAACTCGAGCTGGTCAAGCAAAGACGTCCTATAACCTCCCTCCATCAATAACTCGCCCTGGCCTGAGCATCTATTTACGCCCCCCTCTCTTTCTCCTTGCTGTTCACACTTCTCCTTTCTTTCTTCATTTACATAAAGAAAACCTCAATGGTAGACTCAATGCCCCTGAGGCATCTAGAATGGTTTTGTCATTTTTAAGAAAAGAGAGACTTCCCCGTGCGGAGAAAGTTATTGTAAGGAGGGAGCAATTTGGGAAGACCATCTGTTGTCAATTGGCAGCGGATATGGGGTGCATTGGCACAAATACTCTTAGACTGATACCGTCGTTCATAACACGAGAATGTGTGGATATATTTTTTTATCAGTGGTTCCTTGCCAATGAGTAAAGAACACAAAGAAAATGTCGACAGAATTAGATGTCCACGTCTTTCACGTGTTGCCAAATTCATCAGCATACTGTTCTTTTTTTTCTTGGCACTGCACTCATGTGTCTTTGGTTAAAACTATTGTTAACAAAACAGGAGAGGAATAAAAATGTATCTATCGCGATGTACGAGTAAATCTAATGCTAATAAAAAAAGATGCAAAATCTTATTCCTCAAAAGGGAAAATGCGCACAAATGCATAAATCTATCTTAGAGGGAGAACCAAGACAGGATTCGAACCTGTTACCTCCAGAGTATCGCCACGGTAGACCACATCAGCTATAGGTAGTTCACTGTCAGCTCCTCAATTTGGCACAACATGCCCACATCAGACCTGTTGACAAAATTATGCTATACGCCCTTGCACGTACGTGTTGCCAACTTTACCAGCATAAAAAGAAAATTTCTGTCTCGAGACACAGTAACATTTGTCAACTTAATAAGAAACTCTGCAAACCGGCTCAAAACAATTTCGTGACACTGACAATGTAAATTAGCGATCGTTACTACGTTATATTTTTAATAGATAGATCACATGGTTATTGAAACAAAGGCTTACATAATTAGAATAAACCGATAACTATATCAGGAATTAACATATTTGGTGCACATTTTCGTGATAATATCGACCAGTAAATAATGTCTAAACTCTTCTTTTTTTTAAATTATAATACACTTAGTAATTTACACCTTTCGAATATTTCAGGATGACTGTACAATTTTTTACAATATTTGGTGTCTGAAAACATTCCAAATTACAAAAAAAAATAGTGAACAACGAGGCAAACTTTTGACAGACAGTTTTTGAAAATCCACTTCAAGTTTCACGAAATAACGTTATGAAAACTTTTCTGAGCAAGAGACGACCAGATTTTTATTCCCATTAAATCAAACTACGATGAAATGTACTCAAATTGCGACTCATCTGTATAGCATTTCGCAAAACCGTAGCAATTTTCATCTCAGAAAATTATAGGCAAACAACTTCTGTTATCATAATGATCACCTAAAAGTAAACAAATTACATGTATATAAATAAAGTATACAGCACCTTAAATGCAACTTCAGTCTTTCTTTCACGTGACGGGTGAGTAAAAAGCAATTCTCAATTATTTGAATTTTAAATTTTCTTGCATTATATTTTTCAATCTTTTATCCTTTTTTTCTGGCCGTCTGCAGCTGCTCTTATTTGCACACACCTTGTTTAATAATAGGATTTGGCGTATATATGGATGTTTTCTTATATATAAATGTTAATGATACCTAACAAAACATGGTGGAAATATTCTTTAAAATTGGCAATTTACAAACTAAAATGTATTAAAGCAACAATCAACAATATGCATTTCTTCAATTAATATTTTCAGGAATGCATAGAACAGGTTAATTCAATGTCTCATTTTTGGTATTGCTCAGAGTTTCTTTTGATAGTCTTCTTGAATGTATAATCCATGGAAATGAGGTACATTTACTACATGAGGATATTCGTTATTCATCGTTATTACTCAAGGATGAGGGAATACTCCTTTCTTCGCGATTCAAGGGTCATTTTTCTCGAAATTTGATCCTCATCTGGAAGGGTAAGGGACGCTGTGCCAGACCGGGAACGCAAGCGGTGCTGGGCCGCTCTCCGTTGGGAATCTCCAGCGTGCACTTTTGCAGCAGCGAGGTGAAGTACAGGAACATCTCGATCCTGCCCAGCTCCGAGCCCAGGCACCGTCGCCGTCCCGCGCCGAACGGCAGTACGCTTGCGGTCTTTTCCGGGTCTAAGCGACCGTCGGCGGCGAGGAACCGCCGGGGGTTGAACTCCTGCGGCTCGGTCCACAACTTGGGGTCCTGATTGATGGAGTGTAGGTTGACGAAGATGACGGTGTCTTTAGGGATCTGGTAGCCGTTTAACTGGGTGTCCCGTGTGGTGCTGTGCGGGATGGTGAAGGGTACCACGCTGGAGTAACGGAGCACCTCATGCAGGCAAGCTTCGGTCAGCGGCAACTTACCGCGATCGGAGAGTTGAGGTGACCTGTCCGTACCGATCACTTCGTCGATCTCCTCCTGTATGTCCCTCTGGATGTCCGGGTGTAAGATCATGAGGAGAACGGCCCACGTGAGGACGGCCGATACGGTGTCGAACCCGGCACCGAAGAGGTCATACACGGTCGTCTGCAAAATCTCACGGGTCAGATTCAGCTGCTTGAGTTCCTCGGTCTCCATCTTATTCCCCACGGTGATCAGGTAGTCTAAGATGTCTTTCTCGGAGTCCTCCTGGTAAGCCTCGTTGTGCTGGTTGATGTACCCGCCGAACCAATCTTTGAAGTTCAGCAGCAGTCTCCGGAAATTCTGCATGGTCTTGGTGGGCAGGTACTTCAACCACGGCATGAAGTCCAAGGTGTTGCCGCTGGAAGCTGCGGCACCGAAATCGTCGCTCATAGCCGAGAATTCCGTCAATCTCGGGTCGTCCAACTTGTGCCGTCTGCTGAAGATGTAGGAACACATGATGTTACTGACGGAGAGTTTGAGCACGATGGAGGGGTCGACCACGGTGCTGCCCACGTTGTTATTGGTCCAGGTGTTGATGAGTTCCTGAACTTCGAACAAAACTTTGTCCTGCACCGACTGGGACTGCTGGCCCGAGGTGAAATGCCTCAGGGCCGTCTCGGCGATCTTACGATGCACTTTCCAGGCGGGGCTGTAGTCGGAGAAAGTCATGCTGCCGCCATTGATTTCCTTCATGGACTGCGAGGACATGAAATCAGGCCGGCCTGCGAAGTCCACGGACTGTTTGACCAGCGCCTGCTTGATGGTCTCCATGCCGTTCAGCACCACCACCGGCCGGCTGCCGATCCGTATCTGATAGACATCGCCGTACTTTTGGGCCAGCTGGCTGAGGCTGACGTGCGACGCCTCGCCCAGGTCCAGAATATTCCCCAGGAGGGGCAGTCCGCGAGGGCCCGGTAACGTCTTACCGGAATTCGACATCTCTACTTATGGACGGTACTTGAACTAAGTTAAAAGTTTACCTTGCTTGCGTGGAAGGCAGGGGATGATTACTGCACACAAACATGTACACGCTGCGTTATATCTGGTTGTTGAATACTAAATGCTGTCTTTTGTGCTCACTGTAGAAAGTTGGCACGCAATGTGGCCGTGCGGATCGATGCAAGGTGTAATTAGTCCATGTGAGAGAGCGGCTGAATATCGAACAGAAGACCAACCGGTTCCGTAGTGGTCACGCACGCATACCCCTTTGGGTTATTGATCTAGGAGATACTGTGAATTGTTCTCAGTCCTTTGTGGCTCGTCCCTTCATCGCGGTCCGAGAACAGTGCTCTTCCATTCAGGGAGAGGACCTAAAGTGCTCCCCACTAGCTCAACTTAAAAGATTGTCAAAGCCTTCACTGTGTGGATCGCTCGGCTCGATACAGGCACATTTATAGCAAATCCTGTCCCTCCTCTCGTACGGGAGAAGAAAAGAAAAGGAATCCCATTACATAAACACGGTCTGGGGCTGTAGGTGCTGGTAATCCGGCTCTGTAATTGGCTAAAGCCGTGCCGTACAAAAGTCACTACCCTACTGGCTGATTAGTATTGTCAAACCACGTTGAATGGGCGGTGCGATTGCTCTACGAAGTCATCCACGGCAATGGGCTGTGATACCCGATTAGCGACAGGCCTGTATAAGCTAGTCACCAACTTTTGATGATCATAAACATTTAGGGAAGCTGTACCACGCATCGACACTCCTCACACCCCAGCCTTACCCCGTCTGTAAGTTCCGACCGCAACTGCTAGGCCCGCCCCTTGTGATTGATCGCGGATCGTTCGCACTCGGGTCGCGTTCCCAACAGACCGGCAAATTGTGCCCTACGGTAGCAATGAATCAGTTATTAGTTGCATATCATATCCCAACTGATATCAATATGGGTTGTACGGGTCGGCGGTTGTCGCTGTTGCGCAAACCCAACCCGGGCCAAACCCTTGGGGATAAAGCACGAAGGGCCACGACTGACCGAGTTATAATGTTTTAAACGATGTACACGCACTCGGCCAAGTCTGTGAAGTCATGACCGAAAAGAATAGGCCTACCCGTCTATGATTTCAAAATTGAAAAGTTTACGAAAATGTATCAATTGAAATGGTTTCATTGCTTAACACAGCCTATACAATAAAGAAAAGATTTAAAATTGGTCCAATCACAGCTTGCTATACGGATGACGTCAATGCGGCGGTGTACAGGCGAACCACAGCAGGAAAAGTGACAAAATAATGACTGTTTGTGGTTTAGTGAAATAATGCCCAATCATTGTTCTGCGTTTAAACAAAATGAGCTACCGAGTTGTTGTTCGAGCTCTTCGTATTCTTTCAAAATCACTCTCCACGAAGAACGTGCAGAGTTGTACAAAACGTTCCCCATAGACAATTCCTTGCCAGTCCAAATGCGTACATTACAAACACCAACCGAATGCAATGTTTGTCGAATAATTAATTCTAGCTCTTTCAGTCCTGTTTTAAACATTTAATTTCGGGTACAGGTGCGATGAGACTGTCCAAACCTATAAGTGCAAGGCCACAGCAGTCGGATGGACTATCTCATCAAGGATAATGATATTACCCAACAGTTTCCCGGCTGTAAAGCGCTAATTAACGGTAGATTTCCCTATTGCCGATCGGTCAACGAGTCCTCCGTCAGTGTACCACACGAGGCAAAGGGGGCAAGGACACACTTCGCACGCAATGGTCATTTGCGATCACGCAATGATGAAACGACACTTATCATGCATTACGGTATGGCATGGGATGGGATGGTCAACTGCACACGATCACGGACAATGGACTGGTATGGGTGTTTTGTTGACTTGTTAAATGCTACTATCTCCTGCGTATTTCAAAGTACAGTTCAGCTTTTCTGCAAGCGTAATATTATGTAACGAAGTTCCGACATGATTACACCAGATATTAGCCATTAAGAAAAATAAAATGTGAAGGCAAAGCAACTTTGATATAATTATGGCAAAAATATTAGTATCATTAACTGTTTTGCGACAAAGGAATACTCTCCTGAATTGCATAAAATTAAAGCTTTTTCAGGACGAAAATGATCTAAACCAAAATGGCAATTTTGAGCCCCGATTGAGTAATGATCATATTGGACTATTTTGGCCTGAAATTTCCCTTCATTTGGTAAGAAACAGCATCGTCACGTGGTGCTATGACCTCATTCTGTTAAATTTACTAGTCATACATTTTGTATTTTCACTACAGGAAACTGTAGATCGATGTCAGAAAAGAGCAAGGACACGAAATGGGATCGCCTTGACCTAGCTTATCCCTCCAAGACTGTCGAAAGAGCGCCACCATAGTCTGCATGTGGAGCTATATTCTTTGGACATAAAAGGACAAGGCAAGTCTAGTAAGCTGGACCCAGAGTGCACAGAATCCTATTAAATTGATTCATAAAGTGGCAATTGACTTGTAGTCTTTTCAGGCATCTGGTCTACACAACGGACCGGATTTTGCCCAATCGTTGATGTTAAGGGGTAATCCTATAGGATAGCACTGCCCAGTTTACAAGTGACATTCAGTCAGTCAAGCCAGTCCGTGGGTCTTTCGGTTGGATCGGTTCAAAGGCTGCCCCTCTGGGAACCAGCCATAATAAGCGCGGGAAAAATTAACAAGGTCTTCACCGGTATGGTTAAATGATCATTTGAACGGCACAAATTTAAAAAGAAATTGAGATAACAGTGAAACTTGAGTTAAGTTTATCAAGTTGGCACTAATCTACCCACCTCTGTACAATGTGGGGCGACTCGAAAGGTCACACATGTGCAATACTTGTTTCATTCGTATCAGATGTAATGGCTGCTGATCGCATCAGACAAAATAGTACGCCTGGATCAAATCGTGGGACTTGTCACATCAGATCTCTGTTTATAAATTGCCAGGATGACGAAGAACACTCTCGGAATGAGGGAGAACAAAATGTTTACAAAGTGGGTCATTGTGCAAAGTGCCTGGCAATGACACTTATATTCCGGTCACACCATAATCACCTGATGAAAGTGATATGAGGAGATTGTGAGCATGCCAAGTCTAATCAAGATATTTGGTATGAGATTCTACCGGGGACCTTGATGCGATACCAGACCCTCGCGAAAATGAAACTTGGTTTCCAGGACACGAATCCCTGTGGGGAATATTGTTCGTAGAGTGTTCGTATAGTGCAAGTTTATATACCATGAATTTCTTGTGATTAATGATCATAAGACAAAAGACTTGATTATTTGAGTAAGACCCCGAAGAAAACCACTCAGTTTAGAGCAGTCGGTCAGGCAGTGACTTAGTCGGGGAGTCAGTCAGTCAGTAAGTATAAACTAATTTATGACAGGGGACAATAGGTTTGGCACTTCGCGTCCGGCAAAAATGGCTAACTATGAATAATCATAAATACTGAATACACTGACTATAATGATAAAAATCAGAAAATCAGTTGTTGGTGCTGGTTACTGTCAGGACTGATGGGGTCCAGTTTTCAAAGTTTCCTAGATAATGAAAGTTGCCTACTTTATGAAGATTAGCACAACTTCTAGTGATCTTCTCAATGTTGCGCCAAAGAAATCGTGTAGGCCCTTTGTTTCCAAATTTACCTACAAACTTGCAGGTTATAACGCGGTTCATCCGAGCAGAAAACAAAGCCACGTCAATTAAAATTAATTGAAGATAATGTGCACATCAGACAACTTGATATAATTATGTCGGAATTAAATGATGTACGCCGTGCAAATGTAGAACAAACTCGATATAACTAGAACTACGTTATAGCAGATATTATGGTCTGTACTTTACGACCACCAGAATACCAACAATTGGGTTTATTTTTAGTTTATCGCCCAGTGACCAATACACAACGATGCACCCTACTTAGTTCTCCTATAAGACCCACCCCCAAATTGGATGACCATTTACACCCTAGATGTTCGTGACTCCTCTGCTCCCCGGGCATACAGTCCGTTCCAAGACAGCTTCATCCCTCCTAGGTTTGTTTTTCAACATCCTTGGCAGGGACAAGGGATCGTGAGAGAGAGGAATGCATAGCTCGGGGCGGCGGAGGAGCGAAGACAAAACCCGGACGCAAACACCGCCCCAGAATGCTCAACAATGCTCCTCAAACATATGCATCTGTATTAGCGCAACGGCTGAATGGGGGAGAAAGGGGTGGACAAACAAAGGCTTGCAAAGCCCCACTAACAAAACCTGTTTATCCCCAACAGAGGGGAGGTGTCCTCGCGTTTGTCTGACGATCACCGTAATCGTTTTGCCGAGAACATTGAGGATTGTGTCTTTGCCCGGCTTGGCTGTAGGCTGGTCCACTCCCATGTGAATTGACAACATTTGTACATGTTTCCGCGGTTGATTCCCAAAGAACGAAAGGGTTACCGACCCGTCTTCCGTCTTCAAATCACACATCAACACCTAAAACATCAAGAACACAGGGAAGGGCCTACCCTCCCACACCATAAGCTAGCCTTTTGATGGTCATTGATCTCAAGGCGCTTTTGCTAGAAATCTTCCCGAATCTACCAAAACCAACCACTTTGCAGGAATCCAACGGCACATAATAATAGCCTTTAATTACGCTTTCAAGTGGCTTCAAACCCCGTGCAAAGTGGGACCTGCCTTCCTACAAAAATCCTCCAAAAACCTCATGATGGAGTTTGAAGGGTCCAGGAGGGTTGACATGTCTAGTGATGGTCACACGGCAGTTAATAGTTCAATCTACGCCATATGTAGCGAGAAATTGCAGAAACGATGGTAGAGTTACGACATGCATTTTTGTTTTTTGCACTCTGAAGAATTGTCTACAGTGAAGAACTGAAATTTTAATAGTTTTCCTGAAAATACGCAGTTTAGTCTACGACGTGGTTCTTTCATTGGAAAGTTTAATGATTACCCTTATCCACTTATAACTCTTTGACGATCATTGACACACACGCATGCACAAGCTTTGAAAGCATATTTATGGTAAGAATATTTTGCCAATTATTATGCCAACACATTTCCCTGAATTCACAACTCCACCGATACGGAACTAACATTTTTAACCCACAAAGGCCCGCAGCAATGCCGTAGAATGGTTTGAAACTTTATTCACAGACAGCAGGTCTCAATTTTAAATCGAAAGTTTAAGCTGAAACCTGATTCCCAATACTCGGATGTACACTCGGAAGCCGTATGATTTCCGCCGTTAACATCACCCACGTGAAAGGGCACAAAAGCGAGCTTAGACAGGCGGGCATTGTGGGGCCATCCCCCGGTAACAAAGTCCGTCTTCGCCCGCTACTCGTCCAAAGAATCACGGCCTTTGTCAGGCACAGTTATATTTCGGGATTCGGGTTTTAGTCCAAGAATGGAAACGCTCACAAGGGATAGAATAGATTATAGTCCTCACGTCCCTCTCGTTCCCTTTCTTGAGGGCATTTGTGATTCTTTTACGGGTTGGTGAAAGACCAAGAGTGCCTTGAAAAAAACAACAAGAAAAACTTCCTTCGGCAATCAGGAGACCATGGAATCCGTTGCCACAATGAAAAAACCCCAACAGTACAACGTGGTCTCTCTGCAGAAGCATTTAGCTTTACAATACGTAATGACAAAAAAGTTATGGTTTTCTCACTACTTAATTGTCCCAATTTTAAGGTTTTTTTTCGTTTTTATGAAAAAAAGTTTAGACATAAACATAGGAAATTTGAGGCTACAAACATGTATGTTTGAGGCCATAATCAGCCATTACGTTAACCCGTGTATACAATTT